AGTTGGCAACAGTCGAACGCTAAGTCCCCGATATAGCTCAGTGAACTAGCCAAGGGTCAAAGTACAAAAGCAATCGACAATCGAAAACCACGATAGGAGCTTACCGGGCAAGAAAGGAAATGCTCCCATTTAGTCACCCACCTTCTATCGTGTCTTATTTCGATCATTCTTAACCTCACACCTCTATGGCAGAAAGCAGAAGCGCCGGGAAAGACAGCTGGCGGTATGTATAACAAGCAGTTCCGGGGCTCATACTAAGAGAGATAAGGGCCCACTACGAAGAAGATAGGTCCCTACCCTAGACACGTTGAAGGTCAAGAGATTCCCGATATTGTATTATATTTATGTTTGACAGCACGGCACTAGTCAGAAGAAGATCGACGAACTCTGCGATACCATATTGGAACCATAGAGATGCCCCGTACTCTCCTCGGGGAAGCCCTTTTGAAGCTGAGAGGGAATAAAACTTATAAGATATTGCCAGCTAGTTTCAGTGGAATGAACCCGGAATCTTTCTGAAAGGTCACTGATGGCCTTTCAAAGGATAACTGTATAGCTGCGCACTTGTTTGCGAAACAGGTACGTCAATTATACCGTAAGTCCGGTCCTTTATCTACTGCACTTTATTTAAAGCAGTGTGGCGTTTGCCTTCAACAGGTTTACGCCAGGCCGCCTTACGAGCATGAGAGACTACCAGTTTTCGTCTCCCTCAGTCGGAATGGTCTACCTAGGATCATTCCTTCATTTCATCGTAAGGTGATAATGAGGAAGGATGATAAGGCGGACACATTAGTTCAGTTATATCTATCCTTCTTTTATTCACTTTGTCACGGGTCATACCGTTGGCAAATCGATTAAGTGTGAGAATACTTGATTCTATTGTGACCCCTCCCAAGTTTCTGCAGACTGAAAGAGCATTTGATATGATGAAAATCTGACAATTGTTCAATCTGATCTCAGACTCTTGGCGAGTTCTGCTTCTTCTTCTTCCCTCGGATTCGGCATAGCCTTCTTCAGATTATTCATCCTTGTCTTCGTCTCTGTCTACCAGATCGGATCCAATCAAAGCTGTTCGTCCCCCTTCTCGACGTTCCCGGAGGGTGGCTCTTCACTTGGTGTTCACTATTCTAAGGTCTTGGCACTAACAATGGCACAGACTTTCACTTCGACTTAGTTAGTCCTCAGCTCGTGAATCTGGCTATCTAAATATATCCGGATTCCTTTCTGATGCGCCTTATGTTTCCAAAAGGTAAGACTTTCCCCTTCCTTTCTAGGTACGTGGGTGTTAGCCTGCCGGATATAACTCAATCGATGCGGTTCGTCCCCTTCCTCCAGCCCCCCTTCCAGCGCTTCTGGATGACCCTTCGTACCCGTATTCAGAATTCTACCTCCGCGGATCTCCCCTCCTTCTCCGAAAGCTTTACGAATCAGACAGGGCAATTCCTTACTTTAACTTCATAATCTGGTACTTCACCTGGGGTTAGGCTTTTCAACTGGGCCAAGGGGAGAATGAAAACTTTCACTTCGGAAGGAGGAATGGCAAGTAGAGTTCCCACTGCAGCAGTTTCCGAATCAGGGATGTTAAATTACTTTTGTCTCAGAATTAGACCCATTTGTTACCCTTTTTGGAATAGTTGGGGCAGAAATGTAATAAATAATAGGCTGCTCGATCTGCTGTTCCGGCAAGCAGCCCTTTCGCTCGTTCCCTTGGGGCTTTTTGGGGGCCAACCTGTTCCATATGAGCAGCAGGAGCATAAGCCCCCCGTGTTCGCAAACTCTCATGTAAGGGACCTACTTTCCTTCACACTATACCTTCCGGAGTGCTTATGGAATATCCTGTTGAGTGGGTTTGATGCTAATAAAACAGGAAGGAGCCCAGCAGCTCCCCTTTTTCGGGATAAAGTAACGAAATATGGTAGGAATAGATCTATATATGTATAAAAAATAAGTGAAAACGAAAGAGTTGGTGTCGCACGTACTGATAACTCTATCCCGCGCTGAAAGCGAGAGGGACGGACGAAACTATGCTTCACCCACTTTAGTCTTTAGTGGTTGAACAGCTGAAAGCTAACTTCAACTTATCTTTCTGATTGACTGCTGTTTCCATGCTTGTTTTTAAGACCGGGGCTGCTATTCTTATATTTGATATTCGAGTTACCCTGTGCGCTAGTTGACTATCCAATATTGGCTGACCGACGGATGGGCTCCCTTAAGGGCGGAGCTCACCAACTGGGTGGCGTGGAAGGGGGATATTTAGCTATGTGCGGGTAGAGCTGCTCCTGCTCAGTTGCCACTGGATATCCACATTTATCCCCTAGAGCTGCTGTTCATTCCTCCCCCCATCGGTTGAGTGTTTTCATTCCCCCGGGCCTTATTGGAAAGTCGGGGCTTCCCCTCCTTTTTCCGAGTAAACTACCCTTGCCATAGCTACCCCCAGCCAAAAGGCCATAGATAGGCTTTTGGCCCTAAAGCTACGGTTAAGGCCCCGGCCAATTATGAATCTGAATAAAAAAACAGTTGAACTAGAGTTTTCCCCTACTTGTATGAGTGGGGCTCGCGCTATAAATTTAAGTAATTAATTGGCCGACCGCACCTAAGATGACTGAGAACAGGAACTACCCGATCAAAGAGTCTTCCTTCTGCGCCTGGGCCTTCCCTTAATATGAGAACAAGAGGGGTGAGCTTCACCTAAAATCATTTCCTAGGATTGAGGTTGATTGGCTTGTTCAAGGCAAGGCTCGACGTAGTTGAGTTGTTATGGGGAATCTCCTATCTAAGATTGAGGCTAAGCTCCTGTTCTGGCTCGGTCTTTAACCCATTTAAGGTTAGCTTTGGTATTTAGCCATTGAGGAGAGAGGAGAGAGGGGTATATTAGAATTTTAGGTTTAGTGAGAATAGCTCTAGTCTGAGAGCTTCAGCGAAAAGTTAAGAGTATGGGCGGGCAAGTTTAGGCAAAACTCAATATCACATTAGGAAGTGTAGTAGTTAGCGGGCTCCTTTCACTTTTATGTTGATGGATAGGCGGACTTCACTCCCATTGATAGCATGGGATATGATCACAAGAGCTGATTCAATCGGGTTCACATCATCGGGTATGATCACTGCTAGCAATCCAGTTAGTTAGGTCTCTCTTATACAGTCTTAGAGAATATCTAATCTGATCAGATAACGGAATTCAATTAAACCCGTTGAACTGTTCTCTTAGAGAAGTTCATATTCATCTATCCCGCTGACTGGCTTATAGATTAGAGGTTGACTCAGGAGCTTCCTAGTATAATGTCTACTAGGATAGATTACTCATATAGCGCATCTTCCTATAACAAGCTTAAAAAGATCCCAGGTTACTCCTAAAAACAAGGCTTAGGAGGGTTGCTGACTACTAAAGGGTAGCTTGCTTACGCACCAGGGATTTTAGGATTAGCTGGTGAATCTAGAAAGGGTTTAATAAATAGAGGCTGACTTGCTCGCAAAAGGGTACAACGCTGGTAGGCTATATAGGGATTTACGGATACAAAGGTTGGATAAGGTTAGCTTACTCCTCTCCTACTCTAGCATTTGGATACAGAGAACGACTATCCCGCTGGATCTTTTGTTGATGCTTAAAGGCTGGGCTATAGGCGGACTACATAACCTTACGAGTGATTAGCTTAAACTTGGGACTGATAGCCATACTCTAAAAGCTTGCACCAGGTCTCTCACTATACCCCGGGATTCTCTAGCTCTTGCACGCTGACTTTATCCTATGGTCTCTCTCGGGGCAAGGTAAGCTTTCTCTTATTGCACGCCTACCTTTCTTTGTAAGGGGTTTTGGGATGAGGATAATGAGTTTGTAATTAGCACTAAGGCAGTGGAAGCAGAATTCGTTGATGAATGCTTATATATAAAAAAATAAAGTAAAAACTAGGATAAGGTTTTGTAGAATAGGTAGGGCACGACTCTTCTCTCAAATAATCCTATCATCTATGTCTTCGTCCGAGTGGATTTCCCATGGTATGAAAAGTCGGGAATATCTATATTTACATAAAAGAATTTGTGGACGGATGCCCTTGATCAGGAAGTCGAACATATGCCCGTATAGGTAAAATACAATACATCCGTCGATCATACTAAAATACAGGACGGACTAGAAGGGACCTAAGCAATCCTTGATTGGGAGATTTCATCCCTTCAATAGTAGCCCTTGTACTTATTTTAAGCTCTTCACTGGCGCCTTTGTATGTCTCAACTTGACCTCTGATTGCCGGTTATAGGCTTGGTTGTCGGGCCGGCAGTTCAAAAATGTTTCGGATACAGCCCCAACATGTCTTTCGTCTAATCGGGAGAAAAAAGGAAAAAGGCGTTATTGTTGTGCTTCCCTTCCCAGTCACCATTCCGACAGGGAATGAAGCGAGGTAGATCTAAGAAGCTTGAAACTAGGCAGCAAAATAAGGAAGAGTGGCTTACCGCAGGCTTTTCAAAACAAATACTTCAAGAGATATCGGCTAAACGAAAAAAAAGGGGATTTGTGCTTTCCTCTTAAAGTAGGGGTTGGACCAAGAAGATAGGTCACAAGTGGCCTTACTCTCTTTGTTTCGGAATGAGGATGGGAAGGCCTTCCACTCCAATAAATGATAGGACAACTTTTGGTGCCCTACTCTCGCGGAACGGAAGGAAAGCCACAGAATAAAGTTTGCTACTAGAAAGGAAAGAAAGAGAGGGAGACAGAGAAGGGATCCTAACGCATTCCCATAGTGATATTCACCTAGAGACAAGACTATGTCACAAGATAAGACAATAAAATAATACAAAAAAGAAGATAGTCTGATAGATAGGAGAAAGAGAGGAGTCTAGAGCAACTACAGGAAACTATTAGACGTTACGCTCCTACCTATAGATAGGAGGAACTTCCCTGACTCTCTGTCTCTGCATCCTGACCGCTTCTTGCTTGCTATGGGACTAACGGGAGTGCCCGCATCTTGCTGTGAACTAGAATCTCCTACTCACATTTTTAGATTCCTCCGTGCTTATCCCCTAATGTGTCGTCCTCCATGAATGTGGCACCTGTCTTGAAGAGGGTGATGAAAAACCATTAAATTAAGGCTCTCACCGGAGCCCAAGGGAAACACTTACATAAGCCACTGTCAACCACTGTAATAAGAGCAATGGGATACACGACAACGAGCGAATCTCTTTCCCACCCGAAGCTTTAACTGAACCTCTATACCCGACAGAGGAATGACAGCGGGAATGGACCTTAGCAACCCCCTTCTCCTTCCATTGCAAATACTTATATAGATGGAAATGGTTCCCTTCCTTGAGCAGGAATGCATGAGTTGTTAATCCGTATATGAGTCCCCTCACTTCCTCATGTAAGTCAATGTTTCCCCCTCTAGGAGGAGAAATATCTTTCTCATAACTTCGCAAGCCTACCTGACATTCCCTTCTATCATTCGTTCCTGGATAGCTGTGGTGTTCCAAGAGACATATGGAAGATTTCGAAGCCTGCTCTGTGATGGGAGGTGAGGCTGTTCAAGGAAGTATCCTTGGGGAAGGCCGGGCAGTCAAGCGGGCTTCAGAGAGATTGAGATTCTATTCTTCGGGAAGGGAAGTTGTTACGAAAGGTTCTCAGTCTTTCGACTTCCTCATCCATATGAGGACCGGTTTTTTTTGTTCTGGCTTGTAGCTTGATAAAGGGCGGATGGAAGGATAGCTGGAAATTTAATTCCACTTAGAATTATAAGGAAAAAGTCTCAGTATCTAATGAACCGAACGCTTCAGCCGTGGAACAAAGTAACTGCTGGACCAATGTGTTTGTGCCAAATCAAAAGGCAATGACAATTGTCTCAGGAGCAATCCCTTTCAGTTCAAATTCCGAGCTTGTACAGGGTATATCCCACTTAAGGGAATGGGGGGCAAGAAAGAATAGATTAGAAGCCCCTTGAAGTTTCCTTTATCTATCCTTTATTTGTGAATCCCAAGTGGGAGTCAAATAGGAGAATATGAGAACACTTGAGAGTCTTTCTATTACTTCCTTGCTTACCTGGCTCACTTTGCAACAAAGATAAGTAGTTTATTTGATTGCTTAGCTCGAAGATGCCAACTTCGTTCACTTACGTCTCTCGTTTACTTGTTAGCTAGCCCTATTCCTCACCTTTGCTTTGAGGGTATCTAAATAAACAGTGGTGTGCTCGTTAGAGGATGCTTTTTTAGTTAGCTAAGCGACTACCTTAGTTGAAGGTGGGAGAGCAGCAAAGTCTCTTATCTTCCCAAAGAAGGCAGAAATCGAGATGTGAGAAAAAGAATAGCTATTCACTCTCCAAAGCCCTAATAATTCTTTCTAGCAGATGTGAAGAGAGGATTGTTGACAATTCAATAAGCACTGCAATAACCTCTTACGGAATGATCTCGGTGTTCTCGCTATGTCGTCAATCTCAGTATACGGAAATGGTCTGACCAAGAGGCATCGATCTGGAGTGGGTCTTGCATTGCCGGATGACAGGAGCCCTTCACCTCCACTCTTCAATTATATCCATACCAGGTGAACACAGATGATCGACCTTCAGTGCCTGGTCAACCATTAAAGAAGAGAAGAGGAGCGGAACAATGAGAAGGAGTTCGTAGCCCTCCAACCAGAACTAATCAACCCGCCTCTTCAACATCTCCATTTCCCATTCCATCTCTTTCACCGGGCCCGCCCGATCCCATTCCAATGCCTAGCCCGAAAGCATGGAATCACCATCATTCTCCATATGACCCGATAGCAACACCAGGATCCCAATCCAAGTCTTTCCTCTCTCCTGGCAAAGAAAGGAGGGGAGAACCCCGGTATCTATCTACTGGTCACCCAAATGAAAGCTCCAGCCCTCAAATGCTTCCCAACGAGAGAAGCTAAGGGAGCGCCGTTAAGGCCGGTTGTCCAATCAACGGAAATGGGAGTCAGTGACCTAATGGAGGTACTGAGCCCAAAGCTGGATCTAATGTCTTCTGTTCCAGGATAAAATGCTTGGGAGGCAGCCTCTGCATCTGCATTTCCATTCCCAGGGAGCTCAAAGCAATCAAGTGAATCCTTGCCATCAGGACCAATCCCTAGCGCCCAAGCAACGGCAGCTAAGAACCTTTATTCGAGACCATTAGTAGGTAGCACGTCGAGGTTCCAAGCCGAACCAAAGCAATCTATTTATCCGAACCAACTAGCGATCAAATACCAGCCAAGGATTCCACTCCCTATCCACCTGAATCGACGGTTTAAATATCTTAGTAAGATATATCGGTTCAGCCAGCTAGCTGCATGCCGTATCGGGAAGCGCTGATTCATTCCCCCGATTGTGGAATTTCGACATGTTTGTGGTGAACGAGGAGCGGACCTACGTCTAGAAGAGAATACCGGCTAGGGTGTGAGCACTTTTATACTACGGAAATAACAGGCATACCAACTTGATCGTTACCGGTCATCAATTCAACCTCTCGTACGAGTAGGAGTGCTTGGTCTTCTACTTGAGCGATGGGCTAGAAGCCCGAGCGATACCTTATATATATAATTAGAATAATCTAGAATGAAAAACGGGGTATGTATGGATCCGTGATCCTAATATGAATGGAGGAAGTGCGCCTAATAGGTAGGAATGGCAGGGTTAACAGCAATGGCTGGTTAAAGAGTCTTTGATGCAAAAAAAGTGCTTCTCATCTCCTTATTTTGAATTCCATGATTCTTCATTTCCCACCCTAGCTTTATTGCGAGCCAAAAACCTTGATGGATTCCCCTTTCTTTTCAATGCAAGCTTTCTCCGTGCTTACCCGATCAGCTCATTCAGGTGTGACAGTTGCTGATAGCTTCTCTTCTGGCGCTATCACACTCATTATTCTATTCTAGTAGTAGATAGTCAAGTGGCCATTCGGCTCCTAGCCGCCTCTTTGCCCCTTTCTATACCTAAGCTCTTCACCCGCTTCGTCCGTTGCTAGTCTGACCCCTTCCTTTGATCCGAAGGGACTGCCCTTTGGTTTGGTACGCTACTCTGTTATGATTATGATAGAGTCTTCGCTTAGCGACGAGAATCACTAATCTCGGCCTTGCAGGATAGAATAGATAATCAAGGCTATTGCCCCTTCTTTCAACTCCAGTTGCTTTCGGCGCCTGTTCTATTGGCCTGTTAGGAATAAAAACCTCTTTCTTTGGCTTTGCCTCTTGTCGAGGCTCTTTCTTCTTTCTGTGACTTGGCCCGTGCGTGAAGGTCTGTGTCCGTTCTTGTCCCTTCCCGTGGTACTGGCTAATCCAGGAGATCTGGTTCTAGAACCGGGTGCGGGTTAATAACTCATCTAAGTATGACCGTTCTGTCTGCCCACCCCTTCTTCCATTCAAAAAAGTCAGGGCGTAGGAAGAAGATCATGTTCTCGCTTCCCTTATCTGTTTGGCCTGGAGGCGTATCTCCCGATGGTCGACTGAAGGCTTATTACCGATTAGCCTTTTTGCTACTAAAGATACTTATGGAACTCAGGCTGACTTGTTTGCTTTGCTCTACGCTGGGAAGACGACGGTGCGATTTCATCTGTTGGAGGCGTAACCGCAGCAGTTAGGTCTACTCTAAAGGTCGTTCCGTTCTCCTCGGATGAGAATCGGTAGCTGTTAGAATAGTGGTAGCGGTGTTACTTTCTTCTTGAAAAGACTGCTTGACTTGCTTTCCTTACTCTATCGAATAAGTAATATCTTACCTTTGCTAGAAGGTAGTGAGTGCATTGATGCAGAGAAGTTGGAATATAGTCAGTGTGCCACGAGTGACTCCTTTTGTTGTCAATTGATTTGACTCTGTCTCCTCCCAGGAAGGATAAGATAGAGATTATCTCGTCTTTGTGGTTTAGGTTTAGTAAGAGCATGGCTTCAAGAAGCGAGTGAGTCTTGGAAAGGTATTATCGAAGTCACTTCCAGATTATAATTATATTCTTTTGGGCTCATCCGTAGGGCAGCTAGAAGGCGTAGGTTCTGATTCCGTATGGCTACTGAGAATGACCCTAAGACATCGGTCTAACATTCTAGCCATGTCATAAGCTGGATTCGACCGAAGGGTGAGGATATGACCGGGTTTAAGAAAGAAAAGCTCAAAGCACTCTTGGCAAGGTTATAAAATACCCAATACATTAATGTAGTTCTATAGGGAAAAGAGAACTACAAGAAGTCTACTCAGTCCCGGTACTCCTTTTCGAGAAGTAAGGTAGGAGCAGCTTGCTGTTTAGTTCCAGTAATCAAGCTAGGCTCTTAGTTGGCTATTCATAGATCTGGAGTTGTCCTCTATTGCTGATTTAGCGGCCTTCTTTAAGAACTCCTTCCTACGTGGTAACAGGGGTTACGGCTAAAAACACCGGTTACTTCTATAAGACCAACAGCTCCTAATGGAAGATTTTCCTTTTCTATCAGCCCGGGTACGCGTGAACATTTGAAAGATTGGCAAGGATGAGATAGTGGAATAAGGGTCGGGAAGAAACTTCACTGCAGGGGAAAGGCTTATGTAACTCTCAAAAGGAGCGATAGACCAGATGATGATCCCTAACCTGATCTTTCGATATGAAATTTGACAATCAGGGATTGCTCCTAGTCTGGATCCCTTGGTACTTCTAGAGGAAGAAAGGAGTCCGGGTTAAAGGACGAGGGCAGATTTCTTCTTTCAGTAGCAGCTCCGGAAGAGCTGCTTCGGATTTGACTGAAGAAAAAAGGTACCAAGCAACTATTCTTATTACGATGACGTGAGTTTTGACAATTTGGATTAGGGAAATAGCGCACTTCTCGCATTGGAGGTGCCGGAGCGTCCCAAACAGTTGAAGTTGAGGAAAGGTTTAGCGGTAGCCCATGTCTTCTTTATCCCCTTTTGATAGAGGAAGAAAGTCCCTGGGAAAGAGGAGGAGTCCCGTCATTCCTTCACTCGCGCATCCATATGGAGATCAGCCTACATACAGGCTAAAGGAGAGTCTACGAGCTTGACTTCGCAAAGTTGACAGGAGAACCCGATGTGAATTTTAATCCGTTACCAAGGAAGATTGAGGATACATCGTAGGTTTCATTGCTTTTGATCTCTTTCTTTCTCTGCGGAGAATTAAAGCAAGCCATGCTTTTGAGGATCCAAATGATGGTTAGTTCGAGTTAGCTAGCTGCTCATTCCCTTCTGGGTTGAAGGCAACAAGAACACTAGGAGAGGTGTGCCTGGTAATACCTCTATCTAAGACTACGCAGGCCAGTCTTTCCTTTGCTTCGTGTGCTCCCTGTCAGAATGCGATCTCTTCTCTTTGGTAGGTATCGTATATAAGAGAAAGCTTTGACTCATCTCCCCGAGTGGGGCTTCTCCTCTCTTTCATAAATTGTATAGAATAACCTGTGGGAATAAAGTCCCGGAAACCAGGACGTACGATTGGCTTTCCCTTTCTTTAAGTTTTCAAGAGATTAGTCCCGCGAGATCGTGATCTAGTTCTTTCGTATAGCTCAAAAAGCAAAATAGTGATTTCGATCGTAAGTAAGCTGAAGGGAGTCCGCAAGACTGGTGAATCCACTAGGGAAACCCGAATTATGGCAGTTCGCGAGCCAGTACTTTAGTTATTTGTGCCCTCGAAGGACATGTTTTTATCGAATTCTAAGCTTTCTTATCAGCCCCAGGGAGTTCACCAGGTATAGGCTCAGGAAGCAAGCAACAACTGCTGCGGATCCTGGAACGAAATGATAAATTTCAATAGGCTTTTCTTTTGTACTCGAGTTCAAATCATAGGTCCGGGGTAAAGGAATGATATCCTAAGGAAGCAAAGCAAAAGTAATCCCGTCCGGAGACTATAAGGGAATTCGGGTTAGAAGAATTCTACTCAAACAAAGTCAAGGTTGTGAGCCACGACACTTCTCTTCTAATATCCCGAGTGTTAGACGGAAGGTCAAGTCGAAAGCTAAAGCTAACGCTTACCTCGGATCAAGTCAGCACCACCCGCAGGTTCAGGAGAAAGCGAAGTTATAAAGAAAAGAAAGAATCGAAGTTGTTGTAAGTTAAAAGGTCTTTTCGAACGGGGTTGTTGTTAGCCGTGGGTAGTTTGATGTACTGGTTTTGGGTGCAGGGTGGTGATGGAATCCTTCTTCTGCTCACCGGGATTTAAGGCTCCATCCGAATCAAGGAGAAGCCACAGTCTAAGAAACCAAGGTATAATGTAATTATGTACACAGAGTCAACACCTCTACCAATAAGGAATCAAGTAAAGTAATCGGTTGAACGCGGTCTAGGTAGAAAGAAGTCTTCCTATTCCTGCGTTGTGCCGGAAGTCTTTAAGACTTTCTTGATGCGGAGTAGTGAATATAATCAAGTTAAGCAGTCCAGGCGGGAGGAGTTAATCTGTAATTCCCGTAGTTCCATAGGAAGGAAGTGCATCAACGAGTTTCCGTATCTCGGCAGTAGGGACCGAACTTCAAGCAATAGGGATCAGTGTTCAAGGCTAGGATCTATGTAATATGAATAGTAAGTTGCGCACCCGTCAAGTAGTTCTCACTCCAAGCAGGACTCTTCTATGGATTAGTGGGAAGGCGCTGGATAAGAGAAGATTCGTCTATCTAAGTTGCTGACGAGCCAGTACTGTTCGTGGGCAAGAAAAGTTTCAACTCGCAATCCATTTATACAGAATGGATAAAGGTTATGCAGGCGGGTGTTCATTTCTTTTTTTTGTTTGGCTACAACGGGTACGCTCTCTAGAAGATTTGCTCGGGGCTGTTCACTTTAACTTGGTCGCCTGGTATCTTTGAAACCTCTTTGCTTGCGGAGGCAGGAGTGCGTATGAGAGAGCGCTTCGCGAAAGAATCGTGTGGCGCGGTGAAAGGTTTCCCGTTGGGGTTTCCGGCCCCCAGGTCTTCACCTAATTGTGGAAGAGGGGAGGTGCATTGAGTATAAACTCTCTCTCGCGCCTTTCTTCAGCTTGTTCCTGTTCGTCTATTCGGGACGGGGCAGGCAGCCCACATACATACATGAAGAGAAGAAGAGAGGAGAGGGGGTTCCCTGAGATTAAGGTGTCAAGGCGGTCGAAGAAGGCCACAAGTGGAAGCAACCGAAGCTTTGGTCATTCAGTTGACTCCGCCAGTCCGTGCTTGCTGTCATGCTGGCAAAAGCAGGGCTTTCGGCCTTACCTACTATTGGATTTGAACCAATGACTCTCGCCGTATGAAAGCGATACTCTAACCGCTGAGTCAAGTAGGTCAAGCTGAGTCAAGTCAGAGAAAAGAGACCCCTATAAGAAAGAGAAAGCGTTATCACTATACGAAATATCGGCCTATTCACTCAGCTAGGGAATAAGACTAACAAAATTTGCCTATTCACTGAACCCAAGACTAAGGGCAAAGATAACTTCCTTTGCTCCCTTCCTTAAACTTATAGGATGGAACCCGGACTCCTAACTTAACCCTCTTCCGATTGATTGTCTCGATTTCACTGCCTTGGTTGGCCACCATGCCTACTTCTCTCCAATGCCTCCTTCTTAAACCCCTTCGTACTGCAATCAAATCAATCGATCGATCAAGAGGCTAATCTCTTTTGTTTGGGCCGGTATCTAAAAGAAAGTCCTCGCCTTCTCTTGAACAAGGGAAGGGCAGCATAGCATTAGCTTCAATTGAACAAGCTCAACCTTGAAAAATAAAGGTGGTATGGTAGGCCGAAGAACCGTTGAACGCTTAAACTTGGCCACTGAAGAAGGCGAAGGCAGGGCAAGAGACTAGGCCAACTTACTGCTTACTGCCATAGTTTAAGCTTTAGGCTCCATAGACGGAACTTTTTTTTAAGGTCTAAGGGAGGGGAGGACACCACTCAGCACCTAAGGTGGGGTTCAATGCCGGCCAAAAGAAAAAAAAGAGATGTATGGCTGAGGGGAGGAGAGAAAGAACGCATGCATGGGGATTCTGTCGGAGGTTCGATAATCTATGATAGGACATCATAGGCTAAGGAAGAATTAAAGGAAGTCCATTACTGAGAGAAGTGGTGATCTCGTCTTGCTTGCTGGGAGAGATAAAGCTTCCGGACCACCTTTCCAGCCAGATTGCGAGCGATCACTCAGCAATGAACACTAACTGAAAGCGGCCGGGAAAGAGTAGCCATCCCTTACGGGAATCGAACCCGTGTCTTCGACATGAAAAGACGATGTCCTAACCACTGGACGAAAGGGACCAAAAAGCCATTCTTCATATACCTCAGCTCCGAGAATATAAGTGGTTCGTTTTGTTTCTATACGCAATTCAAGATTTCGTTTGTGTTCTGGCGATTTCTGATGTGAATTCGGCGGGTCGTCCCCCCTTCCTACGGGTTCCCCCACCAGAGCCCGCTTACGGCACGCATGACGCATGGTTACAACCTTTGCCTTAGCGTACAGCGACTTATATAGAAAGCATGAACCACCTCGAACTCACTCGATCGATGGTTCATGGTTCTACGTAATTAGTAGGATCGAGTTTCTACTCCAATCTAAGGTTTTTAGGTTTGTGAACTCAAGAGTACCGGTACGAGTTCTTTGAGTAAGGAACTGGTAGCTTTTACTTATGTCAATGAGTGAGAACAGTAGTAGTAGATTGAGTTAAAGAGTTTGATCTTCCCCCCAGGATATAGAGGGGTCAGGGTCCTTTCTTTTGTTGTTGCACTGAACTAAGTCAGTGTCCTCTTCTCAGAGAGGAGGAGTTGCCTAAACCTAAAGGATTAGTTCCTCGAGTCTAGTTAACTCGACAGCTTAACACGAATAACGTGCGAGCTTTCCTCGACTATAGCGCGAGTAGAGTCTAGCTCGACAAGAGGAACTGCTTAACTTGACAATAGCTCGACTAGGTCGCTTCTTGTATTAATTGTTTATTTTTTTTGTTACTTGTACTTGATTGAGTACAGGTAGTAGTAGTGGAGTTGAAGAGGTCGCTATCTCCCCAGTGAAGGCTCGCTTCGCAGACTTAACGAGCAAAGAATAGATATGACTTACAAAAAGGTGCCCAGAAGTTTGCTGTCCTGTCTATGCCTGTAGGTAGTAGGTCCCTACTCTTTCCGATAAGCGGATAAGTTGAGGGGCTTGCTTCCCAAAAGAAACTTCCCTTGCCTCCTCCTGGCCTTGACACTCTAGTTGTTGTAGCTCTTGTTTACTCCTTGTTTTCCTTCTTTCTCTTGTTAGGAGTTTAGAGTATGTCTAGAACGAGTGGAACGAAGTGCTTCCCTTAAAAAGCCCGAGTCCACGACCTAAAGAGGAGCCGAAGGGAGATGGCTAATAGATTGACTTGCTTTTTACCTTTCGTATTCGGCGGAAGTAAAACTTGATATCGGTGAGCTCCGTTTGCTTCGAAAAGATGTTGTTGGGCAGTAAGCATTTGTAAGAATAGCATCCCTATGTGGGGGAAGATCACGAAAGACACAGATTATAAAGAGGGCCTCATGACGACTAATCCATGAGAGCCCGTATTTATGCTTTCATTCACTCGTTCCTCGTGGTCAGGAGAGGGAAGATCTTAAGGCTTTCTAGTTTTTGAATCCACTTAAGAATTTGATTGTGCCCATTGATTGTATGCCGAGGGAGAGAGCGATAGAGAGAGGGCTACCGCGGGACCCTGGGGCCTCCATCAACGTGATGCCACTGCGGGCCCTAGCCGATCTAGGAATTCCTTACTACGAGCCGGCTAAGTCAGACCAAGGTTACTATTCCGGGGTACAATGCCGACTCGCAAAGAGCCATCGGCAAGATTCGTCTCTTGTGTGTGCGGATCTGAAGACTGAGGTCACTTCTTACGTGATTGACGGTGACACCTCCTAAACTTCCTGCTTGGATCCACAGCATGGTACCTTCCACCCTTCATCAATGCTTCAAATACGTTGATGAGAAGGGATAAACTGGGTATTTGCCGACAATAAGCCCTTTTTTAAAGGAGTCTAGGCATACTGTCTGTACGGATGCGCGTCTTTACAACGACGGCCCAGACAGTGATGGATGACGAAAGCCCGCCAGCGAAAGCCGAAGCACAGGTTCGTAGACCTCTCCGAATCCCTCGAAAGCTAAGGGATTTACGGTCAACGCTATCTCAAAGAGCATGACCCCGTTGACGAAATCTCTAAACTGGGGCTGGGGGAATTACTTCAACTCTCGGTAAATAAAGATGCCACTTCCTGCATTACAGCAACCTTCTCAGGCAGAGGACCCTAATGGAGTGGAGCGACATTCGTCCTCTCAATGGAAGGTTTTTTTCCTCATCTTTCACAGGGTAGCCCGGAAGTCTTATTCTATGCTGGAAAGAATCGTCACCGATGGTGAGATAAGAAAGATAAAGTACAGTCCGATTGCAAAGAAGCGAAGGACATGGGCTATGACCTTGAGGAGCCTGTCGGGCTTTCGTGAAGAACGGTCGAGGCAGAAAAGTACCCCTCGAGCCGCATCTAAGTGAAGAAGAAAGGGAAGCTTGGCTAGCCGGCCAGTACGTCGATCTCAGAAAACATAGGCTTGGGCTACCTGCCAACTCCGCTCCCTGCGCCGAAAACTTTGTCTTACGCCGAAAGTTCTGGAGATCTTTCTTTCAGATCTCTTCCAATTGTCTATAAACGTAAAACAAAGAGCAAAGAGACGAGAGTAAGTTCAAGAATTGGATGTAGAGCCTGTGCCCCCTAAAGAGGACGAGATCCATTTACTTGACCTCGGCCGGATCGAGCAGTTCTAGCTTCTGCCTACTCTCTTGATTCTGTTTCTGCGTCAATGTCATTCCAGTCCAGTCGACTCTGATCATGAATGTCGTAGATTCAGTATCCAGATTCTGATTACGAAGATTATTACGAGGAGAAACATGTTCTTTTTACGAAGAAGAAGTGCGGGGTAGTTCACAGATTTGCTTCTCCATTTGATTGAATGGCATAAGTGTCTGGTGGTACAAAGGTCATAATGGGTTTCCAGTAAGAAGGGTCTTTCCAGAATCTAAATTGTCGGTTAGGTTTTATCCGAAAGATTGGAATAAACTTTTACCCTATCCTTTGGGGGAGGTTAGCCCTACATCTTATTTAAGTGTTTGCCCAGTCGCGCTCTCATGCTCCCAAGGCATGTTGATGAACCATTCCATCTTGTATATTAGATTTCTGCTTTGGGCGAGTCCTTCTGAGCCTTCCTTTCTTTTGAGGAAGAGTCAAGATGGGCTTGGGCTGGAAGAGAAAGAAGCATCTGCTTGAAGAGCAGCACAGCAGGCCTGCGAGCTGAAGCGAGAAGCTGACACAGAAGACTTCTTCTTTGAGGAGGCCGAGCGAGTTAAGATGGTTGTGCGGGGCGTAATTAAAGAGATAATAATATTTGAGTTATGGAGGGTTGGGCAACCCAAAAGAAAAGGGGAGAGCAGAACCGGCATGTTCATAGATGAGAAACTCGAGATAGTCAAAAGCTGAGAAGACGAATCCCGGGGGGTAGTTGCTGAGAAACGAACCTCGAAGACAGCAAAAAAGCACCTAAAGTCTAGTGAACCAGTTCGGATGCGGAAGATACTGGAGATGATAAGTCCAGAGACGAGGTGATTAGCCGTAGATAAAGAGATTCGAGCCAGTCGTGGTAAAACCTGTAAATTGGATTGGATCTTTGAAACCCAAGATGATCCTTCCTCCGTGGAGATTGAGTATACAGCCGCAGACTGTCTTTATCCTCGTCTTCATACACACTTTCGATGATAAATACGCCAGAGGGAAGTAGAGGGAGCAGTTCACTCACTCGCTTAGCGCTTGTACTAAGGCATCTTCCCTAAGGTAGCTTGTTTATTCCCTACAAGTTGAGCTAGTTCCTGTTTATTCAATAGATTTATTAATATATCAATATCAATAAAATATCGTTTAGCGTTTATTCATTCAGAATACCCATTTTCTTGCTAATATGAAACTACCTGGGCATAGCTATGATTCCCATAAGGATCATACTTTCTTGGTAAACCCCTCACTCCTCTCCTTCGGCTTTAAAGGATAGATAGACGAGGTGGGAATACTGTTGTTTAATAACAACTACAATAGATTACCAGAAGAAAGAATGAAGCAAGGAGTTGATTCTCTGATCAAGTAACCACTACCGGAACTGGCCTACTTTCCGGTAATCGCCTAGCTTATTTCCTTTCTACCTGCCGGTATTTGAGCTGCTTTCTACTTGCCGTACTGACTAACTGCACCCTCTCTTTGAGATCCCTCGACCCGCCCGTCCAACCAAAGTTTCATTCGAGCACATAAAATGCAATCCTTGAATAAACAGCAGCTACTAAGAATCTAACAGAAAAATCAAAAAGAAAGGATATAAAAGAGAAAGAGGTTCAGAACTCAACTGAGGAAATGTAATTGTTAAGTTAAGGTCGGTTGGCTACCTCAGGACTATCTGACTACACTACTTGCGTTAAGGCGCTGAAGCCGTGGTAGGGGTTAGCTTATTCCCAGACGAACCATCCCAGTAAGAGATTAGACACCAATACCTGCTGGAACTAGTAGCCACACTACGGCGTATGCTAAATTCCCATACGGCTTCCCTTAACCGTAGGCTACACTTCCTTCGCTCTTGAATCTACAACCATATCTGGTTTCGCCTGCCTTGCGCGAGACTACGCAAATGGAGGCCCTTCCGACACGGAACTAGAAAGGTCAGTCTCTGGCCCAGACTCCACAGATTCAACTTCACCACCGGAACATTCGGCTAAAGATATAGTTTCATCTGCAACAGAGTCCACCACATCTGCTTCAACTCGATCTACTGATTCCACTGTAGCCTACGGTTAGTAAAGCAGGAGCTCTCACTTTATATTTATATATAGTGTAGTTACGTCAGTTCCGGAGTTTGCTGGGCCGTAGTCTATTTCTTTCAGAACCTAATGCCCTTTACGACAGGCGCTAACCGCTTTCTACCAGCTCGGCTCGAACCGGATCGGCTTACCTCACTTTCCAGCATCCACTGGATCAGATTCCTCCTTTAGCGGCTGATAAAGAACAGGAAGACCAATCCCTGAACGTAGTGCAACCTTCGGTCCTTCTGAAGCCGAGAAGGAACTACTTCTTTCAATCCGCCCCCCTCAAAACCACGTTCTAGAACTAAGCTAAAGAGAAGGGAGGGACGGGATACTGACTAGCTCGTCATGCTCAAAAAACTCAAAAACAGTCGTAAAGCCAATTGATTTAGGGCAAAAAGCACAAGATATGGAGGCCTTTTTATAGTCTCTCTTATCGTAATCTTTTATTTGCAACACTCTCCGTAGAGCCCTCTGCTGACCGAACCTACTGTTATGAAGGCAAGCAACCACAATCACAATGGGGTAGGGCTTCTAAGTGCGTAGTCTATTTCCAAGCGAGTCTTCTCATCTCAGGAACAAGTCGACTAAGGCGAGGGGGCATATCCGATCTTCCAATCGTTGATCTAGTTGAAAATTAGCAAATGACATTTCTCTGTAAATAAGGAAAGAGAGGCCGCCGGTCTTCTTTTTTTTGTAGTAGGTTAAGCTGCAGGTTTGTGAAAATGGGTTCAGTTGCATACTTTGGAATAATGGTAAATCAATCATCACCGGACGAAGTCAGCTTTACCCACGTAATAAACCACCAGAACCAGTAACAAAAGAAGCGAGTCGCAATTGATATACTCACTCAACATTGACCAGTTCTATCAAAATATTAAGAAGGATCCAATACTCCTAGAGTAGAGAGGTTCAACGCAATTAAGAAGGATCGATGCAATTAAGCTGACTGCTTCCAAGCACCTTATTCAACCACTTTACTAATGGAGGACAAGAAAATCCACGATGTCTACCTAAAGATCAGATTGAATCAATATTCCTAGGCTTGGCGCTCCCCCTGTTGATAACCTGGCCTATGTAGGTACTTTACCTTTGCTTTGATCTACGCTCTTCCTCGGCGACTCATGCCCTTCCGCTGGTCTTTCGTCTCCGGTAAATAGTCTATGCCCCGCTCTCTTTTCAATTATTACGGACATGTCTATTGAATGAAGTTCCGCCGTAGGTCCCCTAATGCTTTAGAGGAGCGAACAAAGCCCTCTACGAGAGCGATGACGATGAATAAGTTACTAAAAATCTTTATTTCTACCCTCTTTAATGTAGATGCTTTGGACACGCCCTTGGGCTTCTCTACGATTCGTACCTATGAATTCACTTCCACTTTTAGCTGCGGCACGCCATTCCCCACCGAACTACCAGCTTCGCCAATTACTTGCTGTTGGTTAGGTGCTTAGTCTCGGCATTGCTATCGTAGGATGATTGGACTGTCAAGAAGCCACTTCTCCGCTCTCCAAATCAGCTTCTTGACCTACCCACTTTCGCCACCCTCGTTGGCGTTAGGGCAAACGATTTATCTTTTCTTCCTTGAGTCAGCTCGGCAACTCCTTCAGTTCCATATTTTGATGGTAACAGAACCCACTCTTGATAAAGGGCAATAAAAGGCGCAACAATGGCAAGAAAGAATAAACCACGGAAAGGCACTTAGAGATCCTTAGCTAAAAAGGGAATTTGTGAACTCCTGTGTCTCAGTGCCATGGCATACAAAGTCATGTCTTGGAGGATTCCATACGTCGACTCATTCAGACGAAAAACACAAAGATACATCATCCCCAGGCGCACAAAAGAGCTCTACTATATCTCGACGAGACGGAACAGAAGACCTTGCCAACGATAAGACTTCAAATAAATGATCTGCACCTAGCTTAGACCAGGCTCATAGTCGGGCCCAGCATCTTCCCAAAGCCCAAGACCATCCCGAAAGACTCTCGCTTTGGACCACTTCTCCCACTAGACGGGACATCCTTGAAGCCAAAAAGGCTTTGAAAACACTTTTGAGATTTCAATCTCAGTTTAGGAAGGTACCTTAGCCTTCATGCCCTCGATCAAACTATCAACTGACCGACTGGATGGACTAACAGAAAAAGAGTAGCCTACGCTGGCTGGACCGCTGGACATACCTACATACGGACTGCAGACAGACATATACGAATTCTGCTATTACACATGACCTGAGGAAGGAAGAAAGGAAACTAAGTCCTTAAAGGCTGAGCGGCTGATAGGATTGACTCGTGAACTGGATGAGACCATTCACTCACGGAAGACTTGCTAGATATCGCTCCTTCCAAGTGAGCCTCTTTCATAGGAATTCCCCCCATCAGATCAGGGGGTTCCTATAGGGGCCAGGTACACTCTACCATCAAATGAGACAGAAATGAATGCAAGACTTCGAAAGCTTGCAAGGCTTGAAGCTCAGAAATGGATAATTTTAGATCCGTTGAATTCAGACCATAAAGCGTGAAAGTCTTTTTCCTCCCACTTGAATAGAAGAATGAAGGGAGGAAGTCAATTGCCCCTTCTCCGACTAACCGATAGGGAAATCCTTACACAAGCCCAAAAGCATGAACTCGATCTTCAGCCCTTACCACGATTCTCTCAAAGGAAGGAGATGAATCTGACTAAGTAAGGGGCCGCGGAGGGACTTAGTGTGAGTCACTTCACTCGGGAAAGAACAAAGAAAAGGCAATCAATTGTTTAAGCTGTCAATAAATTCTTTAAATAAGTCATTTTACTGCGGAAAAGCGGTCCGCTCGAGGTTATATTCTTCCAGGTCCGGGACCATCCCATAGTGTCTTTGCCCAAGATCGATCCCTCACAGAAGACTTTAAGGAAGGAATGGACCACTCGCAAGACTCAAAAGATAGTAACGAAAGCCAGGAAGCACATTAGGACTTTACGGAAAAAGAGACATTCTATAGAGGAAAAGGCACTTGCCTCTTAGCCGATTGAACAGAATCCACTACTTCGACTGCTCGACGGGCTGCTGGAAGGGCCGATACGATTATCCTCCAAATGGGCGGCCTACACCTCAATAAAAAGCAATGCGAAAAGCAAGAAAAAGGCTGGGTTTCGTAGCTCCGTTTGCCAGGCTCATCAACTGAGATTCCCAATTGCCGGTATCATTGAGAACTTGTGATTCCGGTCAAGTCAACTACTTGAATTCAGCAGCTAGCCGGGTGAGAAGTAGGACAAAGATCTCAGTCAGAATCAGAGAATTTCTCACTTGGCTAGTGAATTCAAGCTCTTTTTCTTTTGGATCGGATTCAGCCCCAGACCTTGGTACGCTGAGGTTAAGCTTTTCCCGGGTTTCCTCTTAAAGCGGCGCAGCTCCCAAGGTGCATATTCTCATATAGAAACAAGCGAAGCGTAGCGAATCACATAGATAAGCCCCTACCTGCCAGCATCAACTCATATACCACGTGGAATGATAACCGAAGGGCTCAAGCAAAGGCCAATGGTGATAGATATAGATCCGGAACCCCAAGCATGGACACTTAGACATAATGGAAAGCTTGTTAGGAAAGTTAAACTGGAATAGAAGGCCGAAAAGACAAAAAGAAGGGACTTTCACATCGCCCCCGACACACCCACGAAAGGAACTTAAAGAAAGCAAAGAAGATTTCCACGCTCAGAACGAATGCAAGATCCACGGGACTCGATACAGCCGGGGACATCGGAAGTAGGGACCAACGCAGAGTCGGGATCCCTTTGGTATAATCAACAAAAAGGAAATAATAGTATGGAATCTCTATCTCATAAGATAGTAGTCGGAAAACTCATTATTGCCTGTCTTACAGTGTGTCTCTTGAGCAGTCTTTCCTACGCCACCGTCAGCGGTACTGAGCTAAGTCAACTATTTTGATAAGGGTAGATTCAATAAAATGAAATAAGACAACTGCTACTAAGAATCTAGTTTTCTAAACAGACAAAGATCCTTAGATTAGATTCCAGACCGAGGTAGCAAAGGCTACGCTTTGAGGGCAATCGAGACTTGCAAGCACAAGACGGCTGTGATTGGGTGATCAGCTCTGTACAGGGCAGAGGATCCCGTGAAGAGAGACACGCTACACTAGACCGATAGTGGCTACATACCATACGGATAAGACTTCTCTCATACAATGGTTGTTCCAAAGAAGGAGAAGGATCGTATAGAAGAGCTGGTGGATCCCCAACTCTTGGGGAAAGTAGCCCAGCCTTCTACCATTATAGGATAGGGATGTAACTTCCGGTAATAAATAGCTAGTTCTGATTCACGTGTACCAGCCCTTCCTTATGCGTCCTTATACTATTATTCCTCCCCCTCATAGATTTACTGTTCTGTGCGAAGCTTGCAAAACCTATTCAGGGCATTTAGATTACGGTTGAGAAATTTCATAAGAGAAGAAAGCGTAGAAAGGCAATCCGCAGTCAATGAAACTGACTATTGACTATTTAAGTAAGACCAAGACCTGACATACGGAATACAGAATAGAAGGTTCATCCATGCTTTTAACAATCTCTACTGTTACTGGTTAGACCGACTTGCTGGCTTCTTTCATTCCTTCCCCCATTCCGTGTCTCCAACCCGCCATAGGGAACTTAGATGATTCATCCTAGCTTAATTAGGGCTTTCGCCCTTCAAGGTCTTAGGAATCGATTGAATCATCCCTGTACTTCTACTCGATAGAGTGATCGAATCGGACGCTGTGCCATTGATTGAATTTCAATAGGCTCTTAGATGGGCTTGTTGAGATAGGTTAGAATGAAGCAACCCCAGTGGAAGGAATATGCCCATAGGTGGATTAGAGAATAAGTCAATAAGTAAGATCGAAAGGGCAGGGAGATCTCTGGGGTCAAGACAAGGAGCCTAGCTAGGTCCCTAGTCACTAATCCGAATCTGCGGAAGAGGAAGAGGCACCCAACATATAAGAATCGGACTAAGAAAAGATGGATCCGTTTAAATGGTTGATGCTTTACAGGTCCCCCGCCTTCTCCTTGATCAAATAGTGTAAGGATAAATAAAACCCTATTATTTCCCTTTCTTTCTTTTGAAGTTATTTCTTAGGTTTCTTCCTGTAATTAAAATAATTTTAAGACTAGTTAGAGCATAAGGATTAGCAGAATCGTCAAAAAAAATTGTTATATGATATAAAGAAGAGGAAAAATTCCAATACTTCTATATAGTACGAAGCACCCGTAGCACTTGCTAAGAGTTACCTAATTGATTGAATACCAGTAAATTTACCACAAACAATAGTATACTAATTTCCGCAACACAATTTAATTGCTTTGGATGCGGCTCCTTTAACTGCTAATCTTTTTCCACCCGAAGGCTAGTTAAACATATGTCGCAAAGAGTAGTATCTGAATCTGTATCTGATGAGGATACTGCAGCAGCGGCGGAGGCAGTGGTAGTCTTAAGGAATTCCCTCCTCGAGATAGTCGATATAGAGAATTGTCCACCTAAAAGAAAGAATCGCGAGTTTACTCGGAGCAGGCTTCCAAAAAGCCTTACAGTAAAGGTAAGTCATCCTATTCTTATAATTAGCCTGAAGAGTAGCTAAGACGCCCCCTTCCCATTCATTTTACCTTGGGATGGTCAAATTCATCTTTCTCCTATTTTAAAGCACTTTTATCTTATCTGACACTCGCAACTAACTACTCCCCTGTACATATAGGGAAGACCACTACTGAGACTGGAACTCAAAGGCCTCCAACGGTAACTTCAACTCCAGGTAAGGCGGAAGCACTTTTAGGGCTTAGGACGAGAAAGACATATTTTACACTAGCTTTTGACCTAGAACCAGCTGACTTAACAGATGGATTGGCCTTTCCTACTTAAATGCCAATGGATAGGGGGCCTGGACCAACATCGAAAGAAAGTGCAACTTCTGGAACAGCTCCCTTAAAGAAAAGAAAGAAGAAATGGAAAGGAGTATTCCACGTGCATAATCCTTCACTTTTATTAAAAGAAGGTAATCAAAAAAGAAAGAAGAAAAATTGGGCCATGTTTCCCGAGGGAGGCCGCCTTCTCTCAGGCCAGCAGTCTTCTACTTCTAGTCGACTGCTCTATGACGGGCTTCCCTGTATCCTGGGCTCTGCTCGCTCGTCTACGCTCCGACCCAGCAAGTAAGAATTTAAAATCTTTCCTTCTCCCTTACGGTCGATAACTACGTACCTTGCCTGCATTAAGATTTAAAACTTGTCGTCAAAAAGGCAATCAATCAGAATCAAGAAAAAAAATGGAAATAGTGAATCAAGCAAGATCTAGATGGATCCCTATCTTTATCTCTATCCACGGAGATACCTATCTATATGGATAGAAATCTATCTATGAATCGATCTAGACTATCCTCTATCCGGATAGATATGTCCCTATGAGCGACTACGCTGATCTTTATATGTTTTGGCCACGTCCGTTTCCGCTCCGAAGAGGAAGGTTTGGATCTTTCAATCTTATGTCGTGAGGGATGTGACCTATGTTAGGTCCATAAAATACCACCGCTTTTGGTGTTCTATGATTAACCTCCGAATAATTAGTAGGTAGTTCGATCCTTTTTATTCTTCTCTTCATAGTAAACTGATGGGGGGATGAGGAGCAATAGGTCGAATTACTATATAAAGAAGAGTTGTAAACTATAGGACTTCTTGTTCGAGTAGGAAGATATCGGTTTTTCTCGTTTCTTCTCTTCGATAAGAATAGGGATTTGAAATGATACAAATTCCTCTTCATTCTGTTGTGCTCAGCGAAGGAACTGCCTAAGCATACTTTTTCGGATCCAAACTTCTTTGTTCTTTCAAAGTATTCTTCTTGCATATAATAACGCAACTATTGTTGCAAAAACCGGGATTTTAGTAGTAGGCGGAATCCCCGCTTAGTTTTGAGTAGGTGGAACCATTCTGTTTTGGTTCTTCTCCACATTCTTACCGGGTGATCCAGGAATTTTCCTATGATTTTATCAACTGATATTTCGATATAGAAAGATCTCCTTATTTCTTCACCGCGGATTCTCGCGTCATTTTCTTGAAAAGATATTAGATCACCGTGGGAAACTTTCAAACGAGTAATGCTTACCATTCGATTATTCACACAAACCCTTCGATGACTTATCGGCTGCCTTGCTTGAGGAATAGTTTCACGAAAATGGAGACGAACCGGAATAACGTCCGATCTTGTTTCTGGATTGAGTAGAAAAGGGATATATGAAGTTCGTTCTGTTCCTCTGTGCATCTCTGTGATGGGTAAATCCCCATGAAAAAGGGGCAACTTTCGTGTAGTTTGTGATTGGATGTAACTGTTAAGATTTTCTCTCGGATAAATCTTTCTCTTAATAGATCTCTTCTTGTTCCTCAATCTTCGGAGAATGCGGCGTTGTATTATTGTAAGTTCTCTGTTCCGAACATTTCCTGAAAGTAGACGACAAGTTTTAAATCGCATATCTCGTCTTTATCTTTCTTTCCTTGGGGGAATGCCGCAACAAAAGGGGCTATGGGAGTAGAACCAAATTCTGCCAAAACCCCCGATAAAAACAAGATGGAAACTGGCATACCAGTCTCATTTACCTCTCTTTCTTCATTCAATATCTGTCTAGCCTGCTAACGACGCCCTTTCTTATCTACGCTATTTACCCTTCATTACTTCCCCAGCTTAGAGTGAAGTTCCTTGCTTTCAGTCTATTGGGCCTAGAGGACTGGGAATTGGCAATAACAAGAATCGGTCCTTTAGTGATAGTGAAAGCTCAATCCCAACTGTCGAATCAAAAGCCTAAACCGTCTAAGGTATGAAGTTACTTTCCAAAGGTCAATCCCTTTCCTGATGCCTGCGTAGAAGTGCAGTTGCTATTAAGGAAGATGTGCCATTAGTTAGAAAAGCAAATTTAACATTCATTCACTTTCGAATAAGCACTCAGACCTAAAAAGAAATTCCATTTCAAAAATAAGATCTCTCTGTCCCCCGAGCGAGCTCCATAAGAAGCCACTTTCATGCTACTAGCTTACTAAGCTTCTTTCCCTCTATCTCTACGAAAAGTACAAGTAACTCCAGACGCTTTCTCATTAGCTCATTGGATTCGTCTTATATAAGCATTTCGGATTGGAAACTAATCGTCTGGTTGGCCCCGAACGGAAAGGGAGAGGCTTTTATCTTTCTAGAGGATTTCGTAACAAAGGGCTCCTGAGGTGCTAGCCGCCCTCTCGGGCTACACTTATACAGCCAGGCCAAACATACTGTGATTCGCCTAGCTGGGTGATACCTTTTGGAATAGATCCCACCCAGACTTACTATAAACTTATTTCCTTTAATTTAAGGGGTGAGCTAGCCTGTCATCCACCGCCCCAACTGTGATGGTCCCCTTCGGCTAGTTCTCTTGAGTGGCTCTCTATTTCGTCTCTATCATAGTGATAGAAGAAGCAATTGATCTCTTTCGTTGTCAACGAGCTAAGAAGATCTGAGCTCAGAGACGATTCTCTTTCTTGAAAATTACCTTTTCTCCTGGTGGTGAGCTCCTTCTCTTCTTTTACTTTTACATATGTTGCCCATATGCGTAGGTGCTCCTCTCCTCCTTCGCGAAGTGTCTAAATTACTTTTCCTATCTCTTTTCTATAGGGAATGACTGATGGAAGGGAGAGTCAATTAACAACCTATCTACGGGAAAGCCTGTTTTCATGGCACAAAGAATCTCTTCCTTTCTCTGAAAAACTTGTATTACTCTGCAAGTTAAATAAGATCCGGCATAAATGCGTTCCAGAGTCTTTAGGTGTGGTATCATATGTATCCCGCTCGTTTAGTTTTTAGTTAAAGTATTAAGTATCCATACCACCTTCGCTCGAGAGTGACGATGTTTAGTGTTAAGTAATTAGTAAGTAAGCGGTTCTACTTGATCTCATGAACTATAAAAAGTTTAGCCCAGTCTAGTCCAATCTCATATCCGGAGTTCCTAGCCTTTGATAACTAGGTTTTTCTCTTTCATTGGTTCTGGAACCTTCGACTTGTGGTTCCACTCTTACTCTTGCAAAAGTTGGAGAATCCACTGCTATGGGAATGGGATGGATGTCACTTGCAAGTCTTCAGAAAGGGGCGGTCCTGACCTATCAGGAAAGGGGAAAGCAACGAGAATCTTTCTACCTTCACGGGTGAACCTGGAAATACATAAACTAGCATTTCCCTTCACTCATGCGGGCGAAGAGTCAATAGAAATAGAATAGAATAGGAATCCCCAGAGACTATATCCATAAATAAAACCCACCATTGAATCAACTGGTATAGAATCAGTATCTGATAACATTCCCTTTCACTTCATCGGATGATCTTTTTATATAAAGAAGTTAAAGACCCAGTTCAACATATGGTATTAGTCCTTAGAATAAATTAAAAGGTTGTGCTAAAAAGTCCCGTCTGTATTGTCCTACGAGTAAGCTCTTTAAGGCCTTTGGGAAGAAAGCTAGAATGATTTTATCTTCTTTCATGTGAATCACATTAGCTTAGCATTAGCTAGAGTTTCTATAACCTCCAGGTCCCAGTGTGGTTAAGCTTATAGCTCTTGTCGCTAGCTCTTATGAAGCTGTGAATGGTCTCGTTATCTTATTAGAAGTTTGAAGAGATAGGCTGCTTTCCTTGGCACGAACGGGGGAAGAAGAAGTTGTTCCAGCTACAGGTGTCTTGGATTCGGCTGGTGGTCTCGTAACTAAATAAGTAGCAGATCCCGTCTCCTTTAATTAAGGAATTTCTATAGATTCATCCCCTAGTTTTGTACCCAAGTCAGTAGACTCTCCTTTCTTGCTTTCCTTCACCGTCATTGACATTGAACTGATATTATGGCGAAGAAAAGAACCACGGTAACCGAAGGCTTACTTACTAATTGGGGGCAAGCTACGGATGAGCTAAGCTAATGGCTGCCCTTTTCTTGCTCCCTAGGAAAGAAGTAAAAGACTGCTAAAGGGAAGCGAAAGATTAAAAATTCAATGTTGTATGCACACGTGGCAGCATTAATAGTGAGAACTCATAGAAGCAATCCAAAAAAAAGGATTACCAACATATGTGACCTAGTAGTTTGATGACCGAAAAGAGAGTTGTGTACCATACCTTGTCTGGAGGCGAGAGATGAGCTCTGAAGAGAATCAGATGGAAGGCATAGAGAGAAACCAGGAAGGCCAAGAAATGGACATGACTGAAAACAACAAGGACCAAACTCTCATGAGTTGGAGTGAAGAACAAGAAATGGATCTACCAGAGGAACAGATGGAGGAAGCTACCTACAGAGATAAAGTGGTGGGGAGCTCCTCAAAGAAGCAGGAGTTTTTACTAAAAAACGGATTTTGTCTGCCCCTCGAGACGTCTACTCAACGAAGAAGCCCATTCGATAGGTAAAGCCGATACAGAAAGAGAGACTGCTAGCCCTAACGTAAAGAGTTTATTCTCCGATCCTCCCTCGAGGACTGAGCTTTCCGAAAGGAAGGAAGAGTCATAGGATGTGTAGTAGTAGCATAAGAAAGCATGCCCAATCCAAGCTGGCCCTCGGTCCCAACACTTTCTTTACTTTATCATAAGCTTCAAGCGTAAGTAATAGAAGTCTCAGATGCAGGACAGGGGAGCCCAAGGGCGTATGAGTTCCCGAATCCGCTCGCTAGTAAGACAAGAGTGATCATAAGACTGCGTAGAAGTGGTCATCAGTGTGTCCACCACACTTTCGTTCGTAAACCGATAAGTAGTAAGGTTTTTATGTGTAGTTGAGAGCGGCGTCTACGCCCTGAAAATAGTCATCTTAGTCGGAAAAGGGTAATTTCTCTGCTTCCTTGCTTTCCTCCTCTCTATCTCTTATTGTGTTCTCGTTCTCAATTCGTTTGTAGCGAGTTCATGCTTTTTCCTTTACTAGAAGACTGATCCTAACCGCAGCTCATGGACGGGACTCTGGGAAAAGAAAAGGGTTCTTAGATACCTTCTGAAAGTTCAGTAGAGAAATTAAGTCCTTCTTTACTTGAGCACTGGTTAGACCGCTTGCAGGCTTTCTTATGGAACTAAAGCATAATATGACTTGCTTAATTTCTTTCTGGCTGTAGTTGTAACCATTGGCATTGTCTGTCCCAGCGGGGTAATGGTAACGCGAATCCCTTTAGTTCGATTTGATCCTTATGGGTTCCAAACCTTTTGAATCAAAGTAGAGTAGGTTTAGGTTGCTAAATTTCTTTCTCAATCTTTCTCTGATTCTAGCCGTGTAGTGGATCCGGCTTTAGTCGGCTAAAAAGAGGTGTGTGTGGTCGGGCTTCTTTCTTTATAGTGCTGCCCGCCCCCTTCTTCATTCATCCATTTAGGCCCGACTAGGAACACGTGGATCCAGGGAACCTGGCTCGGGAACAGCTTCTTACTAGTGGGGGCTAATCACAGTAAGAGAGTCCAATCTCTGAAATAGAGCTTAGTCTCTCCATAGTAGTAACTAATTGAAACTAATGCGACGGTTGTCAAAGACCGGATCTTTGCACTTCGCGACCCTATCCGAGTATGGACTTAGTGCAACGCCTTATAGAACAATGAAGTAATGTATCCATACGAGCTCCGGCCCTCAGCAGCTCGAATACAAAATAAACTTGTTCATTTATGTTACCTGTTGTGGACCTTCAACGTTTCACCTTTCATAGATCTGGGAAAGGCGGTTTAGGTTTGGGAAGTGACGTTGAGACTGGGCACGTGCGATAAGTAATAAAGAAAGCAAAGGGAAATCTGAGGAGTTAGAGCAGGGAACTATGGGCGTCCCTGCCTGGAAAACAAAGAGTAGAATTACGCGAAGGACCTCTAGAAACTCTACCTCTACTACCGCCTTTCCTACCAAAAAGCGAACCCAACCGAAGGAAATAATATAAGGTCTGGAAAGGGCTGTAAAGAATCAAATTCCTTCCCCCCTTTCTTCCCCTGTTCCGGAGATCGATAGAGCCCTCTCGAAACCTAGCTGTGTGAGTTTGGGGGCAATGTGCAAGCAACTTCATCCCCGAATGGTTTTTCCTTTCAACCTCGGCTTTATTTTGTTATTTATGTGGCCGACTTAAGGTCAAAGCTGAAACAGTCGAAACTAGGAAGAATTAGACGAAAGAAACAGCGGTTTTGTTTGGTTAAACGTACCATCCATTGGCAGGCGGCGTCAAACCTCCGCAAACCCTTGGTGGACAGGCTTAAGCAATCGCTGATTCATGTAGTTGGAAATAGCAAATATCCGGCGCTTGCCAGCGCCCTCAAGGGAGCAACCTAAGCGACCAGTTACCAGTTGAATACCTAGTAGCTGGATGGTAAGACAGGACCTATACGCCTCTCAAACCAATCTAGGTCTTCTGGTGTGAAGGTTTGTTTTTTTTATTATTCCGAAGGCGAACCGTGTTCTAGGTGGCCATAAACAGCCTTGAGACCACTGCTCACCACGGGCATGAACAAGGGTCATCAAGAAAAGAACTAGAAGGCAGAACTCAGAACTAAGCCCAAAGGCTAGATCCCATTTCAGTAGTTCAAGTAGAGATTTGAGGCTAGCCAGCTTTCAGTGCAAAGGAAAGATGTATTGATAATCTATAGCATATTATAAAAGACTGAGCTACCAAGCAAAGAAGTGAAAGGCCTATCATTTATAACAATAGTAGTCCTACCCTGTCACAGAGTTTGAACAGGTCTAAGAGCTAATCATTCTACCCGTTAGAATCTTTTATTTATAGCAGTAATAAGTAAGACCAGTACTAGGATTGGCTTAAGAAGTAAAAATCTCTGACTAGCTCCTTTCTTATTCCCCGTAAATGGCATATCCCTAGGTAGACAACAAGTTCTGGGTATAGTTATACAATCTATTGGGTCTAGTCATACTAAAAAAAAGGGTAGGTGTAAAGGTACTTTTTTGACCCGGTGAATTGATTGCTGTCCCTCTGGCATAACCCCCTCACCGAAGTGATCCAAGCAAGATAGTCTGGAGCAAGTGCAAAGAGAATACCTCTGCTGTTAGCTAAGGCTAGTCACCTCAAGTCTTTGTATGGTTCAGGCTGCTCGGGTTAGCAAAGAGTTACCGCTCAAGGGAGGAACTGGATATGTGGAGGGCTATCCTGGTGGCTCGAGACTGACCCGTATACCAGGACGTGTGCTTCCGGTTCAACCCGGGCTAGCTATGGAACAGGCTTGTGAACTAGGGACTCCGTTTCGGTATCTTCATCGACTGGATAAAGAGTTTCAACTTATGGGGCGGTTCTTTAACTGGGTCATTTTATTAGTGAATTGGCTCTGCGTCCGTGGGATCAACTCTATCTTAGAGATCTGGAGGATCCACAACTACAAGCTCTCGATTGGGAACAGGATCTGCTACTGCTGATAGGTATGTAATCGAAGAATCAGGATCTGCGAGATATGGATATGAAAGAGGATATGCTCGAACCGGACCGCATTTCGATGTCTTCTTCTTCTTCTTCTTCTTCTTCTTCTTCTCCTTCTCCTTCTCCTTCTCCTTCTCCTTCTCCTTCTCCTTCTCCTTCTCCTTCTCCTTCTCCTTCTCCTTCTCCTTCTCCTTCTCCTTCTCCTTCTCCTTCTCCTTCTCCTTCTCCTTCTCCTTCTCCTTCTCCTTCTCCTTCTCCTTCTCCTTCTCCTTCTCCTTCTCCTTCTCCTTCTCCTTCTCCTTCTCCTTCTCCTTCTCCTTCTCCTTCTCCTTCTCCTTCTCCTTCTCCTTCTCCTTCTCCTTCTCCTTCTCCTTCTCCTTCTCCTTCTCCTTCTCCTTCTCCTTCTCCTTCTCCTTCTCCTTCTCCTTCTCCTTCTCCTTCTCCTTCTCCTTCTCCTTCTCCTTCTCCTTCTCCTTCTCCTTCTCCTTCTCCTTCTCCTTCTCCTTCTCCTTCTCCTTCTCCTTCTCCTTCTCCTTCTCCTTCTCCTTCTCCTTCTCCTTCTCCTTCTCCTTCTCCTTCTCCTTCTCCTTCTCCTTCTCCTTCTCCTTCTCCTTCTCCTTCTCCTTCTCCTTCTCCTTCTCCTTCTCCTTCTCCTTCTCCTTCTCCTTCTCCTTCTCCTTCTCCTTCTCCTTCTCCTTCTCCTTCTCCTTCTCCTTCTCCTTCTCCTTCTCCTTCTTCTTCTTCTTCTTCTTCTTCTTCTTCTTCTTCTTCTTCTTCTTCTTCTTCTTCTTCTTCTTCTTCTTCTTCTTCTTCTTCTTCTTCTTCTTCTTCTTCTTCTTCTTCTTCTTCTTCTTCTTCTTCTTCTTCTTCTTGTCTTGCTGAATGAAAAGAGCATAGCATGTTTTTTACTCACACAAATTATATTGTACCATGCAGAAACCCAAACATCCGTTCACCATAAATAAGTAGTGATGTATAGTACTAATCATTAACATTAATGTCATTTTTTATTGGACCATGTCAATTATTATTAGTTTGACAAGTTTGTATGCATGTAATTTACATGCATAGCAACTTTATTAGAGTTGGGTTAATTAGTCAAACACATATCTATCTAATTTCTACTTTCGAATCTCACAGATTGTTATTGCTCAATAGTTATCTAGTGATAAATACCAACTCATGTCTTGTGATTGGCTTTTTGTGGCAAGATCATAATCATTTCAATTTTAGTAAGGATCAAAATCATAATAAATTGCATTCATAAGAATTATTACCACATGTGAATGTTTACTTAATGATTAAAAACTTGATCATTCACAAATTTAAATATATGACAGTTTAAAAACATTGTAAAATTGAAGTGTTCGCAATAGTTATACTTTTGCGCTTATAATGTTTATGACGTCAAATTCATTGATTAAATATAAAATTGGATTTGAATCAATGAGTCAATGACATTATGTATTAAATTAAATTAATAGAAAAAAAAAAGTTATGTGTGTCAAAAGGGGTAGTAATGAAATTATGAAAAAAAATTGCAATAAATATTAAAACTATTTATTTAAAAGTAAAAGAAAAAGATGGAGGAGAGGTTTCTAAGTCAAAACCAACAATAAATATTCTCTCTTATGCCATACTATGATTGTTGTGTTAAATTGTAATTCATAGTGGCGAAATTATGTGTGTCGAAAGGTTAGAAGATTGTCGAAGCAGGTTGTTCGATGGAAATTATTGTCTAGTCGAAGAGAGCTTGTGTATCGAAGCAGACTGCACAGATATTTAATTTGGTTTTAGATTTATATTTGTTTTAGATCTAGATAAGATTTGATTTAGGTCTAAAATATATAGATTTGATTTAGTTCTAAAGTAGGTATATTGGCCTTTTATAGTTTTGGGTTTTGACTTAGGGAGAAAGCTAACCTAAGTCTATAAATAGGGACTAACCCATATTTTTTGTAATCAAGTCAATCAACTTGTATTCACATAATTTCCAGTTGTAAATGAATAACAAAGTTTTTCACATGGTGTGGACAGCAAGAAACTCTGCAGAATATAATTGTCTTCTCATTATTTCTTTCTTTTATATTTTTTCATTGTCATTATGTGGTGATATCAATCTTGTTCATCAATATTGGTAGAAATGCATCATAGATTTTGGTGGATTTCCAACACCTGGTATCAAGAGCTCCGGTTGGGTGATTTAAGGGAAGAACGATCAAGAACGATCGAGGGAAAAGAAGATCACGATAGCGATGAATTACGTTAACATAAATTTTCCAGCAAATCTCCTAATTCTTAAAGGTGATAAATAACTATGAGAATTGGTGCAAACATATGAAGGTTATATTCTATTTTCAAGGTCTTTGGGATCTTGTGAAACATGGATTAGAACCGCTTGATGAAGACGCTCAGAAGAAGAAGAAGCATAATACAAAGAATCGAAATAGAAGAATTATTAAGATTTCTTTATAATTCAATAATGTGTCAGCCCATATAATTTCGAAAAAGTTAGTGATGTAGAATCTGCAAAAGAAGCTTGAGAAAATCCTCAAGATATAGTTTGGAGACGTTGAGAAGGTGAAAGAGTTGAGGTTACAAAATCATAAAAGAACGTATGAATTGTTTCAGATGGAAGATATAGAAAACATATCTGACTTCTTCACTAGGGTTACGAAACTAGTGAATCAAATCAAGACTTATGGAAAGACATTAACCACAATGCAGTTGTTTTAAAGATCTTAAGATATTTGGCTCCGAATTTCGACCATGTGGTAGTTTCCATAGAAGAGTCGAAAGACATGTCATCTTTTTCGAAGGAAGAGCTTGAAGGGACGCTTGAATCTCACGAACAAAGAATGGGTGAAAGAGTTGCGTACAAGTCGAAGAGTGATGTGACTTTGCAGGTTCAATTAGGAAAATATAAGAAAGGCAAAGGAAAGTGGTTTGACAACAAAGGTAAATGTGGCTACAATAAATTGACTGGTAGAGGAAATCAACACGAAGAAAATGTGTTGAATCAGAGAAGACGATACCAAGGCAACCAAATAGGTGGTGTTGCGAATAGAGGATGTGGTGGTGGTCGAAAGCCTGACAAGAGTCATATTCAAGTGATTGTCCAGAAGTATGGTCACTATTCTAGTGATTGTCTAGAAAAGCTAAAGAATCAATAAAGTGATGTAAAGTTTGCAAAACATGAAGAAGAAGAGATGATGATGATGGCCACAACAAGAGATGAAGATAGATTCAAGGACCGATGGTACTTGGATTCAGGATGCTCATCACACATGTTTGGAAGGAAAGATTGGTTTGTCAACATAAAACCATCGATGAAGAACACGATGAAATTTTCAAATGACAATACCCTAGCAGCTGAAGGTATTGGTGGTGTTATGGTTATGAGGAAAGATGGAAAAAGGTCAGTAATTTCCAATGTTTTGTACATATCAGGCATGAAGAACAATTTGTTCAGCATATGGTAGTTGGTTGAAAATAATTACAAAGTATAGATCGAAGACAAGATGATGAGAGTCATCGATGCAAATGGAAGGTTAATATTGAAGGCTCCCATGTTTTAAAATAAAACCTTCAAGATTGAACTTAATATGATGGAGCACAAGTGTCTTTTGACTGCAACTAGAAGAGATGAATGGATATTGCACTATCGACTAGGTCATCTCAACTTCAGAGACATCAGAGATTTAAAGAGAAGAAATATGGTTTCAGGATTTCCAGAAATCGACATTCTAAACGAGGTATGTGAGGAATGTGTGCGGGTGAAGCAACACAAGAACAACTTCAACAAGGATGCAGGAAGCAAGTCAAAGGTTATCCTCAAAGTCATATACATTGGACCATTCCAGGTATATTTGAATGGAGGTAACAAATAAATTGATACATTTATAGATGATTCTGGTCGAAAACTATGGACTTACCTGATCAATAAGAAAAGTTAAGTGATCGAGGTATTTACAAAGTTTAAATCTATGGTCGAAAGACAAAGTGGTCGAAAGCTCAACGTTTTGAGAACTGGTGGTGGTGGAGAGTATGTGTAACACCCTATTTCCCCGTCGGTAATTTATATAATAATCAGAGTAAATTAATTTCTAGATACACATCAGTCAAATAGGATGTCACATACTTTGCCAATCATACATGCTCAAATTAAGACACACAACACAATTCACATACTTATAATTCTTAAACTTCCAAGCATTAATTCGCAGTGGAAAAACATTAATAAATAGTCATCTTGATCCTCCAACCAGAGTTATAATTATTATCCTTCACACATCAGCATAATCATAAAACAATTCAAAATAAAAGAGGAATACATGTTCACTCCTAATCATAACAAAATAAATCACACGAAACCCAATAATGTTACATATCAGAGCATACACCGACTCAATCTACGCAACTGGAGGAACTCCTCATCTAACCTTCGATCTCTAGCTACTTCAGGTCATCTATATGTTACCCACGTGGAGGTAACATTCAAACAGAAATGGTGGAATATCATAACAATATAAGAGAAAACATAATAATAAGCAGGTAAGGTTCAAGCACATAATCAGCACATAGTTAACACATAACATACATCATAATATATTGCGCACTTTCATCAATCTTCACCCATCAGTTTTTCAATCATAATATCATGCAAAGGACCGACATTAATGCAATGCATGTGCTACCAATCAGGGTAGAACCCTCTTCGCAATATCATTGAGTTTAATTAATTTTATCTCATTTTTGTAGGTATTCAAGCAATGATATTTAGGCATTGTTAGAAAGAGAATTGAATAACCTTTCCAACGCTTCTAACCATGCGTGAATCAGAGTTACGGGTCTCAACTTATGGCTGAAACGGTGCTGGTTTTTTAACTTACTATCAGTTGTCGTCGGGCGACGCTTTTTGGTCGCCAGGCGATGCTGGGGCAACCTGAAGCATGGAAAAACGCAGTTTTGAGCGTCGGGCAATGCTTTTTAGTCGCCG